CCCCAAAACCCCAAAACCCCAAAACCCCAAAACCCCAACCAAATAATCTACATTGGAATAAATAAAGTAAAATGGTAAGCCTCCTACTGAAATGATAGGACCAAAGGGGAACAGAGGCTCAAGGAGAACCTAGAATGGACCCTCTGAAGTCAGTGATTAATGCTTCGAAGATTTATACGAAAGCAGATGGAAACTCCTGTGGATATTGCGGCTCAAAAGAGGATACTAAACGGAAAATAGGATTTAAGACCACCAAACTTAATGTAGAGCACTATGAAAAGTTGTTAGAGAAAGGATTTATGAGGCATGGAGGTGCGACTGTTGATAAACCTTTGAACCATCTCTCCTGTTGTCATGTTTTCTACCCTAGAGTAGATATCACAGAGTTTAAGATCTCTAAGCAGGTAAAATTTAATCTGAAGCAGCAAGATTCCCTAATTCTTTAGTTAAATTAATTCTGAAGCATTCTATAGCAAAAATAAGCATATGAAAAGGTTCAATCAGTATATGAATGGAGAAAGAGAGTTCACGATAGAACCATCCAATATCAAGTTTAGGAGCGATAAACAAATAACAGTTGCTTCTTGAATGAAGAATGCGTTCAAATAAAGAAATTGCTAAAATCTACCAGCAAATAAAAATCTCTCTTGATCGAGCCTTAGATTATGGAAATAGGAACTTTGGCACCCAACTCACAGTAGAGGAAATCTCAAAGCTTAAAAGTATCTTCATCTCTCATATTTCAGAGGATATTAAGTTAGATTTCTCAGAGGAAATTACAAAGGTTGACAACTTGGAAGACGAAGATATGCCATTAAACATGAACTGAAATATAAAAGAGCTCCTTTCTAAACAGAACCTAAATGAGGTATGCTCCTTTTAGTAAAAATAGACATTCAAGGAGGTCATCTTCCCGATATTCATGAACTATCTCAGAAATAACATTGAGTTCAAGAAGGATTTCAAGATCATTGACACTGAAGATGTAAGGATTTTTGTAACATTTTAGGAGTATTTCTTCATGATCGAAGGCAGTAAATGAGACATGCATCTCTACCAACACAACTTAGATAAGCTAGAGGATGAGGAGAAGTATGAGTACGACTCCCATGGAGAGAAGCAGCATTGAGTTACAGGCAGAGAAACTCAAATTGCAATAGATGCTGGAAAAAGTAGAGACTATAGGGAGTTTTTCAAGGAGTTTTGTCCAAATCCAGTTCCAAAAGAGAAGAGAAAGCATCATTATACTGCTTCTCTCCACCCAGCTGTGTTCACAGAGGAGACCTGACTGCTCTACAAGCTATTTGATAAGCACATATTTGATTCGGTAATCTCTCCTTACTAATTATTAGGAACCTAGCAGTGCCTCGTATGAAAGGTTTCTCTGAAGTTCATGATTATTTGATCCAAAAGACCCTAAGGAAAAGAGAACATTTAAAGAGCCATTAAAGCTAGATGGGGATAGAGAATTTGTAGATTCTGGAGTCTATCCTGAATACTTAGGATCATATCATTTGCATCATAGGATTGATGATGTCCTCTTTGCAGTCACTGTCATTGATATCCTCCCAAAAACGATGACTTCACGCTTTTGACTTTATCACCCAAGTTACAGATTTTTATCCCCAGGTCATTTTACAGCTGTGAGAGAAATTGAATACATGAGGATGATCCGTGAAAAATTCAATAAAAACTTACAATATTATAGCATGATGGACTTTGTAACTGGATGATCCAAGACAGAGTATAAAGAGCATCTGCATCCAATTTACCTCAAATGCCCCTCCTCGCTAGACTGGGTACTGTTCACCAATGAAATTAAGAAAAAGATTGAAAATCGGGATTATGAGACCTTAGGTATATCAAAATCTTTAATTTTAGATGAATCATCTAAGCCGTTTGAACCTCCTTCTACCTTAACTATGACAGAGTGGGTCTCGAACAAAGTAATCCACACATCAGAGAGAGCACTACCACTCAGTAAAGTGAAACGGTCAGTGGTAGATCCTCTTACAGAAGTTTTTAAAGAAATGGGTCTAGAGATGTCTGAAATGTTCGACTTGGAATATAAATAGCTCAATTTAAAAGATATTTTATGGGGTTTTGGGGTTTTGGGGTTTTGGGG